CTTCCGCACCACCATAGACATTCGAAAAGTCTAGCTCATGACTATAAAGAAGCGCTTCTTGGGAGGCAACCCAAGCATTCTCACCTTTGTTTTCATTTGTTTTTGTCTTTAGTTTCTCTGTGATTTCTCTTGCATTTTTCATGTTTTTGTTTTTGTTGTTTTTGTTAAGTTTTGCATCATCAAACATAGGATTTTGTGTTCCAAAGAAAAATTTTCGCATTTTTCTAGCCCTAGGATGTTTGCAGCGCGTTTCAGATGTGTTCCAGAAGTTTTTTTGGTCATTGGTTGAAGTTAAATGCCAGAAAATAGCAAAATAGCTTAGTAGGTTCTTATTTTGGTCCAAATCAAAATTTCTTCCTAATGTCATTTTTGTTGTTTTTCAGGTCCATCTGAAGCCACCGACGTGTTTAGAATGGTTATTATGATGTTTGGACCAGTTTTGGGGGTCTCTGGTGGCCTACATTATGTTTTAGGACGATTTGAAGCTCAAAAAAGGACCTAAAACACAAAAAAAAGGCAGCTGCTGTTTTGCCCAGAATTTGAAGATTTTCGTCACCAAAGAGCTTTTAGCGACAGTGTTCATCGGATTTTTCGTCATCAAAGAGGTTTTAGCAGCAGTGTTCATAAGATTTTTCGTCGCTAAAAGTTGGATTTCCAGATTTTTTATGATTACATATCCAGCTCAAATTCGTTCCAATTTCATCGCATTCCGAGACTCTTAGGACCTATTACGGGTCCGTGACATGCCAAGAAGCAAGTTGTGGGTGTTTAAGTTCGTCGCATTGTCTATTCTCTCTCACTTCGACATATTCTACGCTTTGCTCATCCATACACCTACACAAACCCGGGAAGTTCTCACCCCCTCTCTCTCTCTTTAATTGATTTTGCATGACTTAGTTTTCTTTGTTTTAAACATTGAGGACAATGTTTGTTTTAAGTTGTGGGTGATTGAGTTCATTGGTTTCATAATGCATGCAGCAGTCCTCTGTCTTTGTTTTCAATTCTGTTCTTTTCTGCTGCTGTTTTTGTATTTTGGCCCGCGCCATATTCTTTGTTTTTTCGTTCTGAATCCAACCATATAAAGAACGTAAACTTTGGCCAAGTATTTTGTGAGATACGTGTAATTCTTTGCGCCTGGGTCAGAACTGCAGTTTTGTTTATTGATTTTCAATTCCTTTCAACTTTTAGTTTTTATTTTGTTGTTTTGTTTTGTTTTTCTCT